CTGATATTTTGGTTCATAGACCACGTGGTCAGAATGGCTGTGTTGATGTTTTGGGAGCTGTATTTCACGGGCATTTCGTTCTGTTTATGCTCGACGATACACGAAAACATTAAAAGAAAGATCAACTGCACAATAAAAATGTTCTTTATTCGTCTTTTAGTATTTATACATCTTTTACTTAAACATCTCATTTAAATAATTTAATTTATAAAGCTCTCTTTCCATTTAAAACCTATATTTGGCATGTAAACATCTATTCCACAATCACTGCAAGGCATTGTTGCTTTCTCATTTTGATGACTCTGCATTCAAATCATCAGTTAAGTTCTTCTTGATCAGTATATTATTCAGCTCTTGTGTTTGTTTGAACAGTCTCACTCCAGTGCGCACGGATTCATCCATCTTGATGTCTTAAAAACACTGCATGGCCATTAAACTCACATACAAATATTTGTATTATATTTAAGCACGTGTTGACTGCCCTCTGCTGGTCAGAGGTGATGATCCCGTAATCTGGGTTTCTTAACTTGTGAGAAAAGGGTATATAGATCAGCTTGTTTGGACTGAAGTCCTCTCAGACAGAGGTTATCTATAAAGAACACAAATGCACACAAAAGGAATATGAATTCCATTTAGATTTCAAAAATGTCAATACGGGGAAATGAGAAAAGAAAATTACCGGTTTGGCAGGAAACTTAAATGAGCGTGTTTGTTTCAGTCTCTGGAAAAAGGCTTCTCTCTCACGCTCATTTGCAAAGTCAAAAAACGTCACAGGCCATGAGGAAATGTCTCTGGGTTCCACCGACACGCTTCCGCTTGCTTGAACAAGCTTTACTCCAGAGTCCTGGTGGTCTGTTTTACCACGTTTATGGCTTGATACATTTCGAATGCTCACAATATCGCTGAACGTCACTTTTCTGCATTTTATTGGTTTTTCCTTTTCTGCAAAACACTGAAAAGGAAGGGTTTTCTCATTATCCTGTTGATGTTCTGCTGTATGTACAGACACCGTGACCAGCCAGACTCTGTGATATCATCAGTAGCATTACTCATTTCTAGTAGAATGCAAGAGGGAAGCAATTAGTCACACAGACATGAATGTGACCATACATAGGCATAATATGA